GATTTGAAAGCTTTTAGTCCTAGAAAATTACTTTTATAGAATCAAAAAGATTTCACAAAATTTTCATGCAGAATAAGGTTGGATGTGAAACAAAATGGTGACTATTACAGTTTCTTCACATTAGTTTATATATTGGAGATGTAAAACACTCTTCCAAATGTCTGTACATGTCTACAAATTTACAAGTTTTGCAAAAGCAGAGGCTGATTTAAGGGGATGCCCTTCCCCTTATGGAGCTACATTTATGGGCCCCCCTTTTCAAAATCCTGGATCTGAAAACCTTATATTTATTAATATTTCTAGGGTCATTTTACTTATTAATGAAAATCCAAATGTATTGCGGCGAGTTTGACTTCTCTCATCAGCAAGTAGATTGTTCTAGTCTACCGGTATGTGAAAATTTTGATGACCTGTTTTAATATTAAATGTTTCTTTTCAGTTCTTGGAGTACTATGAACTTACAGTCGTCTAACTTTGTATTCAAATGCATTTAGGATAGCCAGACATTATTACAACTCCATTATATAGACTTTCAACAATGGTAGACCCAGTGTATACAGGTATAATAGTTAAGTGCCAATCTGCCTAAGAATCAGGCAGTGGTGAAAAACATGACGAACAAAAACCCACTCAAGTTGACATTCATTTATGTTCAAAATATATAATGATGCACGAATATAACATTCGTTTCCTTTTCCTGTTCTGGTAATTCAAGATATAATTTGGTTGAAATGCACTAGAAATTTACAAATAAGGGGAGCTAACTCCATAATTTGCTATCATTCTAACCAAAAGTTATCTGGAGATTTCTCAAATTACCAGACACGCAGAAATGAAAGACCTACCATTTTTAACTCAGGATAAGGGTAACATCAAAATAGGATGGTTAGGTCAGTGGGTTTTTTTCTGCCTTGTTTTGATTTTTTTCTGGCACTTAAAACAAAAAAACTTTTACAAACCCTGTTTTTTTTACCTTTTGGATACTTGTAGCTAAAAAGATTAATCAGATATAAATTATAACATATCTTTTCAATATAATAATATCTGTCTGTTTCTTTGCTTTAGTTATGATCTGATATTCAGTATTTACAAATATTTGCCATGTATTATATAATTTATAGTCATCTACATCTACATCCAATAGGTCACAGAACAATAACCTTAATCTTACTTAATGATATTTACATGCAAAGAAATGTTTTATGGTTTAAGTTTTACAGAATAATATTAATATTTGGTTGGATATGTTGTTATTCTTGTTGAGATAAATATATTAGAAATTGATTGAAATAACATTGATTAAAGGAGAATTTTTTGTATACTTAATAGAAAACATAAACAAATCCGGGTTACACTTATCAATCCTTTAAATAAACTTATTCTAAAAGGTTACCTATTCAACACTGTAAATAAATCTTTGAATATTGTTTTTATTGGTGTAAATATTGATTTTGTCATCAATGAATTAAAACCATACTAATATAAATATTACACATATGTACTTTCACGGTTCTACAATCTATCAATACCTATAGTTTGGCATTGCACAAGGTCATGTTTTTCTCTGACTATCATTGACGTCTTTACCCTTAATCCATTGGATGTTGGATGTGAACTGATTGATATTTTAGCCTTAGATACATGATTTTTATGCCCCATTTATGGGCATAATGTTTTTCCGTCTGTGGGTCTGTTCGTTCGTCCGTTCATTAGTCTGTTCGTTCGTTTGTCTGTCGGTTCGTTCATCTGTCGGTTCGTTCGTCTGTCAGTTCTTTCGTTCGTCTGTTTGTTCGTTCGTCTGTCTGTTCGTTCGTCTGTCTGTCCTGCTTCAGGTTAAAGTTTTAAATAGGTTCAAGTTTTTGGTCAAGGTAGTTTTTGATGAGGTTGAACTTGAAACTTAAGTACACATGTTCCCTATGATATGTTTTTTATTAGTTGTTATTGGCTTTGAACTAGCTGTCAGTAACTGCGAGTACTCTAGATCTGTACTTTGTGCCTTTTTGCTTTTGGGATGTATAAGTACCCGTTTTTGTTAGATGTATTTCTATTTGTTACTGTAATAATCCATCTGATGGGTATATATATTTAAAGCCTTTTTCAACTGATTTTTATACGCCCGTCAAATTTTTGACGGGACGTAGTATGTTATACAAATGTCCGGCGTCCGTCCGTCTGTCTGTCCGTCTGTCTGTCCGTCTGTCTGTCCGGCGTAAACATGTCGCACCGTAACTTGAGAATGACTTATCCAAATTTCATAAAACTTAACATAGTTGTTTCTTATGATGGTCAAACGATCTGTATACTTTTTGGTGAAAATAAGATTAAAACTTTTTGAGTTACGGGACTTAGAAACTAAAACAGGTGTGTGATTTTTTTCACATATCGCGCCGTATCTCAAAAACAATTTATGATTATTGCTTAAAACTTTACACACTTCTTAGTTATATTAATCTTAAGATCTGTATACTTTTTGGTGATGATTCAAAATTTTATTTTTGAGTTATTGAGTATTTTGTTAAAAAGGGGGAGGGGTTTTTCACATGTCGCGCCATATCTCAAAAACAGTTTATGATTATTGCTTAAAACTTTACACACTTCTTAGTTATATTAACCTTAAGATCTGTATACTTTTTGGTTTTGATTCAAAATTTTATTTTTGAGTTATTGAGTATTTTGTAAAAAAAGGGGGAGGGGTTTTTCACATGTCACGCCATATCTCAAAAATGATTTATGATTATTGCTTAAAATTTTACACACTTCTTAGTTATATTAATCTAAAGATCTGTATACTTTTTGGTTTTGATTCAAAATTTTAATTTTGAGATATTGATTTTTTTTTTTAAAAGGGGTGTTTTCACATGTCGCGCCGTATCTCAAAAACGATTTATGATTATTGCTTAAAATTGTACACACTTCTTAGTTATATTAATCTAAAGATCTGTATACTTTTTGGTTTTGATTCAAAATTTTATTTTATAGATATTGAGTTTTTTGTAAAAAAAAAAAAAAGGGGGTTTTCACATGTCACGCCGTATGTCAGAAACTATTATTATTATTGCATAAAAATTCACACACAAGACGACGGGCGTATCATGCGCTCATGGCGCAGCTGTTTATTATAGTTTGATGTTGTACTGTTACACCTCTGTCCCAGGTTAGGGAGAGTGTTGAACACTTACAAACATGCATGTTTAACCCCGACACATTTCATTCTTTATGTGCCTGTCACAAGTCAGGAGCCTGAAAGTTCAGTGGTTGTCCTTGGTTCATTTTTGTCATATTTGTTTTTATGTAAACTGTTTATAAATTAGGCTGTTAGTTTTCTCAATTGAATTGTTTCATATTTTTAGTGTCTTAGGGCCTTTTAAACCTGATTTAAATATAACATATGATTTAGGTTTATCTCATTGTTGAAGGCCGTACAGTTGCCAGTATAATGACTTACATCTACTTCATTTGAACTTTGGTGGACAGTTGTCTCATCATACCACATCTCCTTATTTTTATATGAATGTCTTAGATTGAATAAACATTTTATAAAGAACTATAAATAAAATAAAGTTTTAAGTTTCCATCCTTTCAAATATTTTATACTTATCTGATATTTTAGAGGAACCGAACAACTGAACAGAGCAGAACAGTATTCAATGACCTTGAAGAGCAAGCAATGTGTACAGTGAAACAGCTATCTTTGTAGTTATCAAAGGGTATGGTAAGAACCTCATCTATAATTATATGTGGTGAGTATTTTTTTGTTGATTAAAAAATTATGCAATAGGTTACTATAATTTTTTTTCTTGGAGTCTATTTACCTATTAGGTACTTGGGACAGGACAATTTATTTTTAGCACTCCCCCTTTTTTCCAGAATCTCTTATATTTTTGTTTTCTATTAATTTCAATTATTTTTGCGTTTTTTGTCGAGCCTTCGACTTTTGTCGAAAAAGCGAGACATAGCTATCCTACATTCCGTCGGCGTCGGCGGCGTCCACAAATATTCACTCTGTGGTTAAAGTTTTTGAAATTTTAATAACTTTCTTAAACTATCCTGGATTTCTACCAAACTTGGACAGAAGCTTGTTTATGATCATAAGAAAATATTTAAAAGTAAATTTTGTAAAAAAAAAAATTCCATTTTTTCCGTATTTTATTTATAAATGGACTTTTTTCTGCAAAGAAACATTACATTCACTCTGTGGTTAAAGTTTTTGAAATTTTAATAACTTTCTTAAACTATCCTGGATTTCTACCAAACTTGGAAAGAAGCTTGTTTATGATCATAAGATAGTATCCAGAAGTAAATTTTGTAAAAAAAAAATCCATTTTTTCCGTATTTTACTTATAAATGGACTTAGTTTTTCTTCCAGCTAACATTACATACAGTCTGCAGTTTAAGTTTTTAAAACATTTATTAGATTCATAAACTATCCTGGATTTTTACCAAACTTGGACAGAAGCTACTTGCAATCAAAAGGTAGTACAGAGAGGAATATTTTTATTAATTTTTTTCCTCATTTTTGTTGAGTCTGCGATTAACAGCAAAAGTAGGCGAGACACTGGGTTCCGCGGAACCCTTACAAATTTTCTGTTGTATGAACATAAATATACAAAAAATAACTTGTAGTTGCTATTTTCTATCAATTTCAAGTTGACTATCCACAGTGGTCACTGATATATATTATATAGAGGGAAGGTATCTCACCTCGTACCTCATCACCTATTTTCCTACTTGAATTCTTTGAGAAATCCCTAGTCTAATTCATAAAATATTAAAATTTCCTTCAAGTCAGTGGGCATGACTCTTTTCTGTTATCATTCCTCATATATTTTAATGTATATTGTTGTATATATATTTATTTTTTATATAGGTTTCTTCAAAGAATTGATGGTAAGGTAGCTGCGGAACCATAGCTCTTAGGTCTTGATAATATATCATAAGAACCTAATTAAGAGCTTTGGTTCCGCACCTAATAGTAAGATTAGTTGATTTATTTCATTTTTGTTGAGCCTGCGACTTTTGTCGCAGAAAGCTCGACATAGGGATAGTGATCCGGCGGCGGCGGCTTTAGCTAACTTCTTAAAAGCTTTATATTTTAGAAGGTGGAAGAGCTGGATGCTTCATACTTTGTATATGGATGCCTCATGTTAGGAAGTTTCCGTCAGTCACATGTCCAATGTCCTTGACCTCATTTTCATGGTTCAGTGACTACTTGAAAAAAAAGTTAAGATTTTTTGTAATGTTAAATTCTCTCTTATTATAAGTAATAGGATAACTATATTTGGTATGTGCGTACCTTGCAAGGTCCTCATGCCCGTCAGACAGTTTTCACTTGACCTCGACCTCATTTCATGGATCAGTGAACAAGGTTAAGTTTTGGTGGTCAAGTCCATATCTCAGATACTATAAGCAATAGGTCTAGTATATTCGGTGTATGGTAGGACTGTAAGGTGTACATGTCCAGCTGGCAGGTGTCATCTGACCTTGACCTCATTTTCATGGTTCAGTGGATATAGATAAGTTTTTGTGTTTTGGTCTGTTTTTCTTATACTGTATGCAATAGGTCTACTATATTTGGTGTATGGAATGATTGTAAGGTGTACATGTCTAGCTGGCAGGTGTCATCTGACCTTGACCTCATTTTCATGGTTCAGTGGTCAAAGTTAAGTTTTTGAGTTTTGGTCTTTTTTTCTAATACTATATGCAATAGTTCAACTATATTTGGTGTATGGAAATATTTTATGATCTATATGTCAGTCACACAGGTTTATTTGACCTTGACCTCATTTTCAAGGTTCATTTATCAGTGTTAAGTTATTGTGTTTTGGTCTGTTTTTCTTAAACTATAAGCAATAGGTCAACTATATTTGTTGTATGGAAGAATTGTTAGCTGTACATGCCTGCCTAGCATGGTTCATCTGACCTTGACCTCATTTTCATGGTTCATTGGTCAATGTTTAGTTTACTTGGTTAATGTTAAGTTTATGTGACAGTTGTAATAAAGCTTTATATTTAGGACTATCAACATAATATCAATGATTAGTAAAGAAGGCGAGACATTTCAGCGTGTGCACTCTTGTATATATTTTCATGTATATTGTTGTATATTTATTTATTTTTTATATAGGTTTCTTCAAAGAATTGATGGTAAGGTAGCTCTGGAATCGTAGCTCTTAGGTCTTTATAATATATCATAAGGACCTAATTAAGAGCTATGGTTCCACACCTAATAGTAAGATTGGTTGATTTATTTCATTTTATATATTTTCATGGATATTATTGTATATATATTTATTTTTTATATAGGTTTCTTCAAAGAATTGATGGTAAGGTAGCTGCGGAACAGTAGCTCTTAGGTCTTTATAATATATCATAAGGACCTAATTAAGAGCTATGGTTCCGCACCTAATAGTAAGATTAGTTGATTTATTTCATTTTATATATTTTCATGGATATTGTTGTATATATATTTATTTTTTATATAGGTTTCTTCAAAGAATTGATTGTAAGGTAGCTCTGGAATCGTAGCTCTTAGGTCTTTATAATATATCATAAGGACCTAATTAAGAGCTATGGTTCCGCACCTAATAGTAAGATTGGTTGATTTATTTCATTTTATATATTCTCATGTATATTGTTGTATATATATTTATTTTTTATATAGGTTTCTTCAAAGAATTGATGGTAAGGTAGCTGCGGAACCGTAGCTCTTAGGTCTTTATAATATATCATAAGGACGTAATTAAGAGCTATGGTTCCGCACCTAATAGTAAGATTGGTTGATTTATTTCATTTTATATATTTTCATGTATATTGTTGTATATATATTTATTTTTTATATAGGTTTCTTCAAAGAATTGATGGTAAGGTAGCTGTGGAACCTTAGCTCTTAAGTCTTTATAATATATCATAAGGACCTAATTAAGAGCTGTGGTTCCGCACCTAATAGTAAGATTAGTTGATTTATTTCATTTTATATATTTTCATGTGTATATGGTTGTATATATATTTATTTGTTATATAGGTTTCTTGAAAGAATTGATGGTAAGGTAGCTGCGGAACCGTAGCTCTTAGGTCTTTATAATATATCATAAGGACCTAATTAAGAGCTATGGTTCCGCACCTAATAGTAAGATTGCTTGATCTATTTCATTTTATATATTTTCATGGATATTATTGTATATATATTTATTTTTTATATAGGTTTCTTCAAAGAATTGATGGTAAGGTAGCTGCGGAACCGTAGCTCTTAGGTCTTTATAATATATCATAAGGACCTAATTAAGAGCTATGGTTCCGCACCTAATAGTAAGATTAGTTGATTTATTTCATTTTATATATTTTCATGTGTACATGGTTGTATATATATTTATTTTTTAAATAGGTTTCTTCAAAGAATTGATGGTAAGGTAACTGTGGAAACGTAGCTCTTAGGTCTTTATAATATATCATAAGGACGTAATTAAGAGCTATGGTTCCGCACCTAATAGTAAGATTGGTCGATTTATATCATTTTATATATTCTCATGTATATTGTTGTATATATATATTTATTTTTTATATAGGTTTCTTCAAATAATTGATGGTAAGGTAGCTGTGGAACCGTAGCTCTTAAGGTGGTACCCAACACCTTGACTAATATTAATTTGGCTCGTTTAATTTTCATAAAATTTTGACAAAAAGTTTACTTTGACCCTTTGACAAAAATATAAAAATTTCAAAAAATTTGAACCAACCACTTTATCAGAAAAATTTCATTGGTTATATAGCAGTTTGACAAACACTAATTTTGATCATTGAGAAGCTTAATATTTCCTTAACAATACAACGTAATTAAAACGTTTAGCTGATTTTTACAGAGTTATCTCCCTGTAGTGTTAGGTACCACCTTAAGTCTTTATAATATATCATAAGGACCTAATTAAGAGCTGTGGTTCCGCACCTAATAGTAAGATTAGTTGATTTATTTCATTTTATATATTCTCATGTATATTGTTGTATACATATTTATTTTTTATATAGGTTTCTTCAAAGAATTGATGGTAAAGTAGCTGCGGAACAGTAGCTCTTAGGTCTTTATAATATATCATAAGGACCTAATTAAGAGCTATGGTTCCGCACCTAATAGTAAGATTAGTTGATTTATTTCATTTTATATATTTTCATGTATATTGTTGTATATATATTTATTTTTTATATAGGTTTCTTCAAAGAATTGATGGTAAGGTAGCTCTGGAATCGTAGCTCTTAGGTCTTTATAATATATCATAAGGACCTAATTAAAAGCTATGGTTCCGCACCTAATAGTAAGATTAGTTGATTTATTTCATTTTATATATTTTCATGTGTATATGGTTGTATATATATTTATTTGTTATATAGGTTTCTTGAAAGAATTGATGGTAAGGTAGCTCTGGAATCGTAGCTCTTAGGTCTTTATAATATATCATAAGGACCTAATTAAGAGCTATGGTTCCGCACCTAATAGTAAGATTGGTTGATTTATTTCATTTTATATATTTTCATGGATATTATTGTACATATATTTATTTTTTATATAGGTTTCTTCAAAGAATTGATGGTAAGGTAGCTGCGGAACCGTAGCTCTTAGGTCTTTATAATATATCATAAGGACCTAATTAAGAGCTACGGTTCCGCACCTAATAGTAAGATTGGTTGATTTATTTCATTTTATATATTTTCATGGATATTATTGTATATATATTTATTTTTTATATAGGTTTCTTCAAAGAATTGATGGTAAGGTAGCTGCGGAACCGTAGCTCTTAGGTCTTTATAATATATCACAAGGACCTAATTAAGAGCTATGGTTCCGCACCTAATAGTAAGATTGCTTGATTTAGTTCATTTTATATATTTTCATGGATATTATTGTATATATATTTATTTTTTATATAGGTTTCTTCAAAGAATTGATGGTAAGGTAGCTGCGGAACCGTAGCTCTTAGGTCTTTATAATATATCATAAGGACCTAATTAAGAGCTTTGGTTCCGCACCTAATAGTAAGATTGGTTGATTTATTTCATTTTATATATTCTCATGTATATTGTTGTATATATATTTATTTTTTATATAGGTTTCTTCAAAGAATTGATGGTAAGGTAGCTGTGGAACCGTAGCTCTTAAGTCTTTATTATATATCATAAGGACCTAATTAAGAGCTACGGTTCCGCACCTAATAGTAAGATTGGTTGATTTTTTTCATTTTATATATTTTCATGTATATTGTTGTATACATATTTATTTTTTATATAGGTTTCTTCAAAGAATTGATGGTAAGGTAGCTGCGGAACAGTAGCTCTTAGGTCTTTATAATATATCATAAGGACCTAATTAAGAGCTATGGTTCCGCACCTAATAGTAAGATCAGTTGATTTATTTCATTTTATATATTTTCATGTATATTGTTGTATATATATTTATTTTTTATATAGGTTTCTTCAAAGAATTGATGGTAAGGTAGCTGTGGAATCCTAGCTCTTAGGTCTTTATAATATATCATAAGGACCTAATTAAGAGCTATGGTTCCGCACCTAATAGTAAGATTGCTTGATTTATTTCATTTTATATATTTTCATGGATATTATTGTATATATATTTATTTTTTATATAGGTTTCTTCAAAGAATTGATGGTAAGGTAGCTGCGGAACCGTAGCTCTTAGGTCTTTATAATATATCATAAGGACGTAATTAAGAGCTATGGTTCCGCACCTAATAGTAAGATTGGTCGATTTATATCATTTTATATATTCTCATGTATATTGTTGTATATATATATTTATTTTTTATATAAGTTTCTTCAAATAATTGATGGTAAGGTAGCTGTGGAACCGTAGCTCTTAAGGTGGTACCCAACACCTTGACTAATATTAATTTGGCTCGTTTAATTTTCATAAAATTTTGACAAAAAGTTTACTTTGACCCTTTGACAAAAATATAAAAATTTCAAAAAATTTGAACAAACCACTTTATCAGAAAAATTTCATTGGTTGTATAGCAGTTTGACAAACACTAATTTTGATCATTGAGAAGCTTAATATTTCCTTAACAATACAACGTAATTAAAACGTTTAGCTGATTTTTACAGAGTTATCTCCCTGTAGTGTTAGGTACCACCTTAAGTCTTTATAATATATCATAAGGACCTAATTAAGAGCTGTGGTTCCGCACCTAATAGTAAGATTAGTTGATTTATTTCATTTTATATATTTTCATGTATATTGTTGTATACATATTTATTTTTTATATAGGTTTCTTCAAAGAATTGATGGTAAAGTAGCTGCGGAACAGTAGCTCTTAGGTCTTTATAATATATCATAAGGACCTAATTAAGAGCTATGGTTCCGCACCTAATAGTAAGATTAGTTGATTTATTTCATTTTATATATTTTCATGTGTACATGGTTGTATATATATTTATTTTTTAAATAGGTTTCTTCAAAGAATTGATGGTAAGGTAACTGTGGAAGCGTAGCTCTTAGGTCTTTATAATATATCATAAGGACGTAATTAAGAGCTATGGTTCCGGACCTAATAGTAAGATTGGTCGATTTATATCATTTTATATATTCTCATGTATATTGTTGTATTTATATATTTTTTTTTTATATAGGTTTCTTCAAATAATTGATGGTAAGGTAGCTGTGGAACCGTAGCTCTTAAGTCTTTATAATATATCATAAGGACCTAATTAAGAGCTATGGTTCCGCACCTAATAGTAAGATTGGTTGATTTATTTCATTTTATAAATTTTCATGTATATTGTTGTATATATATTTATTTTTTATATAGGTTTCTTCAAAGAATTGATGGTAAGGTAGCTCTGGAATCGTAGCTCTTAGGTCTTTATAATATATCATAAGGACCTAATTAAGAGCTATGGTTCCGCACCTAATAATAAGATTAGTTGATTTATTTCATTTTATATATTTTCATGTGTATATGGTTGTATATATATTTATTTGTTATATAGGTTTCTTCAAAGACTTGATGGTAAGGTAGCTCTGGAATCGTAGCTCTTAGGTCTTTATAATATATCATAAGGACCTAATTAAGAGCTTTGGTTCCGCACCTAATAGTAAGATTGGTTGATTTATTTCATTTTATATATTCTCATGTATATTGTTGTATATATATTTATTTTTTATATAGGTTTCTTCAAAGAATTGATGGTAAGGTAGCTGCGGAACCGTAGCTTTTAAGTCTTTATTATATATCATAAGGACCTAATTAAGAGCTACGGTTCCGCACCTAATAGTAAGATTGGTTGATTTTTTTCATTTTATATATTTTCATGGATATTGTTGTATATATATTTAGTTTTTATATAGGTTTCGTCAAAGAATTGATGGTAAGGTAGCTGCTGAAACCGTAGCTCTTAGGTCTTTATAATATATCATAAGGACCTAATTAAGAGCTTTGGTTCCGCACCTAATAGTAAGATTGGTTGATTTATTTCATTTTATATATTCTCATGTATATTGTTGTATATATATATTTATTTTTTATATAGGTTTCTTCAAAGAATTGATGGTAAGGTAGCTGTGGAACCGTAGCTCTTAAGTCTTTATTATATATCATAAGGACCTAATTAAGAGCTACGGTTCCGCACCTAATAGTAAGATTGGTTGATTTTTTTCATTTTATATATTTTCATGGATATTGTTGTATATATATTTAGTTTTTATATAGGTTTCTTCAAAGAATTGATGGTAAGGTAGCTGCGGAACCGTAGCTCTTAGGTCTTTATAATATATCATAAGGACCTAATTAAGAGCTATGGTTCTGCACCTAATAGTAAGATTAGTTGATTTATTTCATTTTATATATTTTCACGTGTATATGGTTGTATATATATTTATTTTTTAAATAGGTTTCTTCAAAGAATTGATGGTAAGGTAACTGCGGAACCGTAGCTCTTAGGTCTTTATAATATATCATAAGGACGTAATTAAGAGCTATGGTTCCGCACCTAATAGTAAGATTGGTCGATTTATATCATTTTATATATTCTCATGTATATTGTTGTATATATATTTATTTTTTAGATAGGTTTCTTCAAAGAATTGATGGTAAGGTAGCTGTGGAACCGTAGCTCTTGAGTCTTTATAATATATCATAAGGACCTAATTAAGAGCTATGGTTCCGCACCTAATAGTAAGATTAGTTGATTTATTTCATTTTATATATTTTCATGTATATTGTTGTATATATATTTATTTTTTATATAGGTTTCTTCAAAGAATTGATGGTAAGGTAGGTGCGGAACCGTAGCTCTTAGGTCTTTATAATATATCATAAGGACCTAATTAAGAGCTTTGGTTCCGCACCTAATAGTAAGATTGGTTGATTTATTTCATTTTATATATTCTCATGTATATTGTTGTATATATATTTATTTTTTATATAGGTTTCTTCAAAGAATTGATGGTAAGGTAGCTGTGGAACCGTAGCTCTTAAGTCTTTATTATATATCATAAGGACCTAATTAAGAGCTACGGTTCCGCACCTAATAGTAAGATTGGTTGAATTTTTTCATTTTATATATTTTCATGGATATTGTTGTATATATATTTAGTTTTTATATAGGTTTCTTCAAAGAATTGATGGTAAGGTAACTGCGGAACCGTAGCTCTTAGGTCTTTATAATATATCATAAGGACCTAATTAAGAGCTATGGTTCCGCAACTTATAGTAAGATTAGTTGATTTATTTCATTTTATATATTTTCATGTGTATATGGTTGTATATATATTTATTTTTTAAATAGGTTTCTTCAAAGAATTGATGGTAAGGTAACTGCAGAACCGTAGCTCTTAGGTCTTTATAATATATCATAAGGACGTAATTCAGAGCTATGGTTCCGCACCTAATAGTAAGATTGGTCGATTTATATCATTTAATATATTCTCATGTATATTGTTGTATATATATTTATTTTTTATATAGGTTTCTTCAAAGAATTGATGGTAAGGTAGCTGTGGAACCGTAGCTCTTAAGTCTTTATAATATATCATAAGGACCTAATTAAGAGCTATGGTTCCGCACCTAATAGTAAGATTAGTTGATTTATTTCATTTTATATATTTTCATGTATATTGTTGTATATATATTTATTTTTTATATAGGTTTCTTCAAAGAATTGATGGTAAGGTAGCTGCGGAGCAGTAGCTCTTAGGTCTTTATAATATATCATAAGGACCTAATTAAGAGCTATGGTTCTGCACCTAATAGTAAGATTGCTTGATTTATTTCATTTTATATATTTTCATGGATATTATTGTATATATATTTATTTTTTATATAGGTTTCTTCAAAGAATTGATGGTAAGGTAGCTGCGGAACCGTAGCTCTTAAGTCTTTATAATATATCATAAGGACCTAATTAAGAGCTTTGGTTCCGCACCTAATAGTAAGATTAGTAGATTTATTTTATTTTATATATTCTCATGTATATTGTTGTATATATATTTATTTTTTATATAGGTTTCTTCAAAGAATTGATGGTAAGGTAGCTGTGGAACTGTAGCTCTTAAGTCTTTATAATATATCATAAGGACTTAATTAAGAGCTACAGTTCCGCACCTAATAGTAAGATTGGTTGATTTTTTTCATTTTATATATTTTCATGGATATTGTTGTATATTTATTTAGTTTTTAAATAGGTTTCTTCAAAGAATTGATGGTAAGGTAGCTGCAGAACCGTAGCTCTTAGGTCTTTATAATATATCATAAGGACCTAATTAAGAGCTATGGTTCCGCACCTAATAGTAAGATTGGTTGATTTATTTCATTTTATATATTTTCATGTATATTGTTGTATATATATTTATTTTTTATACAGGTTTCTTCAAAGAATAGATGGTAAGGTAGCTGTGGAACCGTAGCTCTTAAGTCTTTATAATATATCATAAGGACCTAATTAAGAGCTATGGTTCCGCACCTAATAGTAAGATTGGTTGATTTAGTTCATTTTATATATTTTCATGTGTATATGGTTGTATATATATTTATTTTTTATATAGGTTTCTTCAAAGAATTGATGGTAAGGTAGCTGCGGAACCGTAGCTCTTAGGTCTTTATAATATATCATAAGGACCTAATTAAGAGCTATGGTTGCGCACCTAATAGTAAGATTGGTCGATTTATTTCATTTTATATATTTTCATGTATATTGTTGTATATATATTTATTTTTTATATAGGTTTCTTCATAGAATTGATGGTAAGGTAGCTGCGGAACCATAGCTCTTAGGTCTTTATAATATATCATAAGGACCTAATTAAGAGCTATGGTTCCGCACCTAATAGTAAGATTAGTTGATTTATTTCATTTTTGTCGAGCCTGCGACTTTTGTTGCAGAAAGCTCGACATAGGGATAGTGAGCCGGCAGTGGCGGCGGCTAACTTCTTAAAAGCTTTATATTTTAGAAGGTGGAAGAGCTGGATGCTTCATACTTTGTATATGGATGCCTCATGTTACGAAGTTTCCATCAGTCACATGTCCAATGTCCTTGACCTCATTTTCATGGTTCAGTGACTACTTGAAAAAAAAGTTAAGATTTTTTGTAATGTTAAATTCTTTCTTATTATAAGTAATAGGATAACTATATTTGGTATGTGTGTACCTTGCAAGGTCCTCATGCCCATCAGACAGTTTTCACTTGACCTCGACCTCATTTCATGGATCAGTGACTACTTGAAAAAAAAGTTAAGATTTTTTGTAATGTTAAATTCTCTCTTATTATAAGTAATAGGATAACTATATTTGGTATGTGTGTACCTTGCAAGGTCCTCATGCCCATCAGACAGTTTTCACTTGACCTCGACCTCATTTCATGGATCAGTGAACAAGGTTAAGTTTTGGTGGTCAAGTCCATATCTCAGATACTATAAGCAATAGGTCTAGTATATTCGGTGTATGGAAGGACTGTAAGGTGTACATGTCCAACTGGCAGGTGTCATCTGACCTTGACCTCATTTTCATGGTTCAGTGGATATAGTTAAGTTTTTGTGTTTTGGTCTGTTTTTCTTATACTGTATGCAATAGGTCTACTATATTTGGTGTATGGAATGATTGTAAGGTGTTCATGTCTAGCTGGCAGGTGTCATCTGACCTTGACCTCATTTTCATGGTTCAGTGGTCAAAGTTAAGTTTTTGAGTTTTGGTCTTTTTTTCTAATACTATATGCAATAGTTCAACTATATTTGGTGTATGGAAATATTTTATGATCTATATGTCAGTCATGCAGGTTTTATTTGACCTAGACCTAATTTTCATGGTTCAGTGGTTATAGTTAAGTTTTTGTGTTTTGGTCTGTTTTTCGTATACTGTATGCAATAGGTCTACTATATTTGGTGTATGGAATGATTGTAAGGTTTACATGTCTAGCTGGCAGGTGTCATTTGACCTTGACCTCATTTTCATGGTTCAGTGGTTAAAGTTAAGTTTTTGAGTTTTGGTCTTTTTTTCTAATACTATATGCAATAGTTCAACTATATTTGGTGTATGGAAATATTTTATGATCTATATGTCAGTAACCACAGGTTTTATTTGACCTTGACCTCATTTTCAAGGTTCATTGATCAGTGTTAAGTTATTGTGTTTTGGTCTGTTTTTCATTAAACTATAAGCAATAGGTCAACTATATTTGTTGTATGGAAGAATTGTTAGCTGTACATGCCTGCCTAGTATGGTTCATCTGACCTTGACCTCATTTTCATGGTTCATTGGTCAATGTTTAGTTTACTTGGTTAATGTTAAGTTTATGTGACAGTAAAATGTAATAAAGCTTTATATTTAGGACTATCAGCATAATATCAATGATTAGTAAAGAAGGCGAGACATTTCATCGTGTGCACTCTTGTTTATATTTTCATGTATATTGTTGTATATATATTTATTTTTTATATAGGTTTCTTCAAAGAATTGATGGTAAGGTAGCTCTGGAATCGTAGCTCTTAGGTCTTTATAATATATCATAAGGACCTAATTAAGAGCTATGGTTCCGCACCGAATAGTAAGATTGGTTGATTTATTTCATTTTATATATTTTTATGTGTATATGGTTGTATATATATTTATTTTTTATATAGGTTTCTTCAAAGAATTGATGGTAAGGTAGCTGCGGAACAGTAGCTCTTAGGTCTTTATAATATATCATAAGGACCTAATTAAGAGCTATGGTTCCGCACCTTATAGTAAGATTAGTTGATTTATTTCATTTTATATATTTTCATGTATATTGTTGTATATATATTTATTTTTTATATAGGGTTCTTCAAAGAATTGATTGCCACTGGACGTTAAGCAACCAACAATCAATCAATCAATCAAAGAATTGATGGTAAGGTAGCTGCGGAACCGTAGCTCTTAGGTCTTTTATAATATATCATAAGGACCTAATCAAGAGCTATGGTTCCGCACCTAATAGTAAGATTGGTCGATTTATTTCATTTTATATATTTTCATGTATATTGTTGTATATATATTTATTTTTTATATAGGTTTCTTCAAAGAATTGATGGTAAGGTAACTGTGGAACCATAGCTCTTAGGTCTTTAGGTGTAATACCACCATTGATTTTCCCCTATTAGTCTTTGTTAAATTTGCACTTTTCAAAAAATTGTGCAGAATTTATCTTTGTTTCAAATAAAGAAATACTTGGCATGAGTAAAGTTTTATTCTGTCCAGTACTATAGAAAAAATTTCACATAACATTTCATTGCATATAAGAAAATAACCATCACTGGAAGTTAACCAATCAAATTTTCCCCCTTTTTTAACCTGTGTACAAGCTTTAGTAACCATGTAACCTCAAGTTTCCAAAATATTCTATAGAAACCCCAAATAAAGAAATAATGGTGCTTTGAAATACCCAAGATATATGTTTATGACTCAGAAATGTTTTACTGCAATGAAATGTAGGATCAATTACCTACAACTGTCAAATTCAAGGGAATATTTTTTTTCGACCTATTTTCGTATGCAACCGGATGTGACGTACTATGATTTGGTGGTATTACACCTAAAGAAGACTTTTTTGTTGAATAAACTGAATGTGACTTTTTTCCTTTGTAATACTGGTTATTTCAAGCATTCCTGTCAAGTTTTGTCATAATCAGTTCAATAGTTTGAGAAAAATCTAGTATAATGTAAGACGACATCTACAGCGATTCGAGCAAAATTTCTTCGAAAAATTCAAACAAAGCCGCATCATGATAGAATATAGTGTGGACCAATAAATGATCAAATATTTATCTCATCTGCCTACAAACAGTTGAATATGATACAAAAGATAACTTTAGGATGATAAATACTACTAATGGACCTCTAATTCTTCCTTATAAAGTCTCTTTTGGTCCATTTATACCTCTCATTTCCTCAAAATTTCTACTTTTTAGGCCAATAAATAAAAATTTTGGGGTAACTTTCACTCATTTATGATAGAAATGTTATTATAAATGATTAATTGAAGTATTCAAGCTGCTTGAACTATCCGTATAAAAGTTTACTGTCTCCAAGGAGGTTTCAATAAGTCCTTGCGTAAAACTTAAATTTACGCCGCGTTCCAGAGAGGGACATAAAAAACTTCTCTTTTGGTGAATAATTTGTTGTTACTGCTTTAAAAATAATTTCATTTACTTAAAACTATATATTTATTAAAGTATTTCTTAGGAAAAATTTTCTAGTATAGCAGAATATAAGAAATAAGGAGAAAAAGCTCCCCAAGACTCTAAGTATGGCTTGTTCTGTCAACTAATATTCATGGTAAAGTCCTATTTCAAGGAAATTTTCTCATAAAATGTATTTTGGAGACTCAATCCACTCAGAATATTTCATTATTTGTTATATTTCACTTAAATAGCAAGAAATTTTAACACATGAGAGTACTCACAAGGTCAAAGGTGCATGTACAGCTTCCCATATTAGGTGTAATACCACCATTGATTTTCCCCTATTAGTCTTTGTTAAATTTGCACTTTTCAAAAAAATGTGCAGAATTTATCTTTGTTTCAAATAAAGAAATACTTGGCATGAGTAAAGTTTTATTCTGTCCAGTACTATAGAAAAAATTTCACATAACATTTCATTGCATATAAGAAAATAACCATCACTGGAAGTTAACCAATCAAATTTTCCCCCTTTTTTAACCTGTGTACAAGCTTTAGTAACCATGTAACCTCAAGTTTCCAAAATATTCTATAGAAACCCCAAATAAAGAAATAATGGTGCTTTGAAATACCCAAGATATATGTTTATGACTCAGAAATGTTTTACTGCAATGAAATGTAGGATCAATTACCTACAACTGTCAAATTCAAGGGAATATTTTTTTTCGACCTATTTTCGTATGCAACCGGATGTGACGTACTATGATTTGGTGGTATTACACCTTTATAATATATCATAAGAACATAATTAAGAGCTACGGTTCCGCACCTAATAGAAAGATTGGTTGATTTATTTCATTTTATATATTTTCATGGATATTGTTGTATATATATTTATTTTTTATATAGGTTTCTTCAAAGAATTGATGGTAAGGTAGCTGCAGAACCGTAGCTCTTAGGTCTTTTATAATATATCATAAGGACCTAATTAAGAGCTATGGTTCTGCACCTAATAGTAAGATTGGTTGATTTATTTCATTTTATATATTTTCATGTATATTGTTGTATATATATTTATTTTTTATATAGGTTTCTTCAAAGAATTGATGGTAAGGTAGCTCTGGAATCGTAGCTCTTAGGTCTTTATAATATATCATAAGGACCTAATTAAGAGCTATGGTTCCGCACCTAATAGTAAGATTGGTTGATTTATTTCATTTTATATATTTTTATGTGTATATGGTTGTATATATATTTATTTTTTATATAGGTTTCTTCAAAGAATTGATGGTAAGGTAGCTGCGGAACAGTAGCTCTTAGGTCTTTATAATATATCATAAGGACCTAATTAAGAGCTATGGTTCCGCACCTTATAGTAAGATTAGTTGATTTATTTCATTTTATATATTTTCATGTATATTGTTGTATATATATTTATTTTTTATATAGGTTTCTTCAAAGAATTGATTATAAGGTAGCTGCGGAACCGTAGCTCTTAGGTCTTTTATAATATATCATAAGGACCTAATCAAGAGCTATGGTTCCGCACCTAATAGTAAGATTGGTCGATTTATTTCATTTTATATAGTTTCATGTATAATGTTGTATATATATTTATTTTTTATATAGGTTTCTTCAAAGAATTGATGGTAAGGTAGCTGCGGAACAGTAGCTCTTAGGTCTTTATAATATATCATAAGGACCTAATTAAGAGCTATGGTTCCGCACCTTATAGTAAGATTAGTTGATTTATTTCATTTTATATATTTTCATGTATATTGTTGTATATATATTTATTTTTTATATAGGTTTCTTCAAAGAATTGATGGTAAGGTAGCTGCCGAACCGTAGCTCTTAGGTCTTTTATAATATATCATAAGGACCTAATCAAGAGCTATGGTTCCGCACCTAATAGTAAGATTGGTCGATTTATTTCATTTTATATATTTTCATGTATATTGTTGTATATATATTTATTTTTTATATAGGTTTCTTCAAAGAATTGATGGTAAGGTAACTGTGGAACCATAGCTCTTAGGTCTTTATAATATATCATAAGAACCTAATTAAGAGCTACGGTTCCGCACCTAATAGTAAGATTGGTTGATTTATTTCATTTTATATATTTTCATGGATATTGTTGTATATATATTTATTTTTTATATAGGTTTCTTCAAAGAATTGATGGTAAGGTAGCTGCAGAACCGTAGCTCTTAGGTCTTTTATAATATATCATAAGGACCTAATTAAGAGCTATGGTTCTGCACCTAATAGTAAGATTGGTTGATTTATTTCATTTTATATATTTTCATGTATATTGTTGTATATATATTTATTTTTTATATAGGTTTCTTCAAAGAATTGATGGTAAGGTAGCTCTGGAATCGTAGCTCTTAGGTCTTTATAATATATCATAAGGACCTAATTAAGAGCTATGGTTCCGCACCCATAGTTGCCAACTGACATGATATTCGCGTGTAATACACGCTTTTTCAACGGTTTACACGCGAGGATTATATCACATGGCATGTACACGCTTTTCGACACTATACACGCAATTAAACGCTTTTTAGTTGTTTTGATTTTTTGGTTGTTAGTGATATAGCGATTCTCGGGTTTTTTTATTATAACATGATAAATACCTAAATTTCGAAGTAATTGTTTGGTGGCCATTGTTTATTTTTAGCTCACCTGACCTGAAAGGTCAAGTGAGCTTTTCTCATCACTTTGCGTCCGTCGTCCGTCGTCCTGCGTCCGTCGTCGTCCGTCTTCCGTTAACTTTTACAAAAATCTTCTCCTCTGAAACTACTGGGCCAAATTTGACCAAACTTGGCCACAATCATCATTGGGGTATCTAGTTTAAAAAATGTGTCCGGTGACCCGGCCAACCAACCAAGATGGCCGCCATGGCTAAAAATAGAACATAGGGGTAAAA